TATTCCTAGGTTCGAGAACCGAATACAGTGATAAACCAATCACCATCAAATGGGGCGAGTTTCCAATAACTCGAAGTGCCCTCTAACTTTTTCTAAAAAGAACAAAATACCCCAGGTAGACCATGGGGTCTACCTGGCCCCAATAGCTTTTCTGCTGGAATCATAAAATACTTCCAGTTAACTGAAACAAAGTTAGCAAGAGAATCTCTATTCACTGAAACCATCCAGGTTTCAGCAAGGGCTAAACAAATTAAACCTGGTCGTTTAGTCATGTAACCCAACAGAGAACACTTGATGCTAAACCCACAACAATTCCAAAAAAACAAAGATTCCGAATAACTACTCGAACCAAACTGGTCCGGGCACGATGAAGTTGAAAGTCTCTCCAAACCGACTCTTTTGCGGGAAGGAAAATTCAAAATAAAAAGGAAACAGGCACCTCTATTAAGCGATGGCCCGATATAGAATATGTGAATCTCTTGTCATCTACATATAATACGTCATCTCGCATAAAAAACACGACGACCAGCATCCCGGTATTCTTTTAAAAAAGAAACCAGGTTTTTGCGGCGAACACGGGAATTAAACGACAAATCCGGTGCCAACCTAAATTTCACCGGTCTTTCCATGCCCTCTTGTTGAGTTTTCGTCCGAAATTTTTGCAATAAATGATTTCGACATTTCCAGGACGATAACTGGATGCAATAGAATTCCCGAGCTTTACCTCGCAAACGGGAAGCACCGACAATATTGTGTCCCGACAGATCAGTCACATCCAATTCCTTAGAAAATAGGTTAACAATATAATCCCGCAAATCCAATTCGATCGGAATACTATGATTAAACAACATTAAATTGCTTCTGTTTGAAGCATTAACTTGTTTATCGTAGGCAAAGGAGTGTAACTCACCAATGTCGTCCAAAGGTAACTGTTGTTGCTGTTCAAGTTTATCTAGTCGCGAATATACTTTAGAAAAGTCGGTTTTTAATTTTCTTACCGAAGACAATGTCGACTGGTTGGCCATTTCCAAATTGGCGAGCCTATTTTCGATACACTTCAACTGCATCATTACTGGATTTAAAGTCGTTTTCAAATATTGTCGTAAGGTTAACAATTTTCTATCTGAGTCCGGAGGAGATTGCCACTTAAAATAATGTTTTAATTTTGGATATTTTACACCCGGATCACTCGGTGAACGATGATGTTTAGTTCCTTTACGTTCTTTTTGGGTTTGCTTTAACGCTTCTGGCGGTGTACATGGAAACATTTCCGAAAAAAATAAAGCTAATGACACAGAATAACACAATAGAGCAAAAAAACGTACCAACTTAGGTAACATATAAATAAAAAACTTAGTAATTTACAATAATTCACTTAACAAAATCTTCCACAAAAAGTCACCAGCAGCCTAGGTTACTCAACAAAGCCTCCGGATTGTTTTAATATTTAAAAAGTAAAGACTATTTTATGTTATTTTTATGTACGTTTCTTCACAAAACTATATTTATAATTTTCTTTAAAAGTATGTTCGTACAATTGAATATTTTGTACCGGGTATGTATAATTGTATATCCATCACACATTTTATTTTAACAAGTTTTTATAATTTTATTTCTAATTTTAGCCCTTATATTATGGCTAGCGATTTAGAATGTAATTGCGATATTTTTAATTTATTTTAAAAAAGTTTTGGCTCGAGACCATATAATGAAAAAGAAAACATTATTAAAAGAGAAAGAAGACCAATGCCTAAATTAAATATAAATACGTCAACAAAAAAATTTGTTTGACGTTTTCAGGATAAAATTTATGAAGACATAAAATGGCTTTGTGGTGCATAAAAATGCAAAAATTGTTTTGTTAGCCTTGCTAACAAAATTTTCAAATGAAATTAGTGTGTGGAATAAGAATGGCTTTGACGATTTAAATAATTTGAGTAAAGTTTGCAAAAGACACGAAAATCACGACTCTCGCATTGATTCTTTCCTAAAATTGAAGCAATTTGGAAATCAAAACAGAATATAATTTAACATTAGTACACAATATAAAATAAATATTGAAAATTATAACGAGATAATTACGGCTAATAGATATATTTTAATTAGTAGATGTTATCGAAGCGAGAATTGGCATTTAGAGGGCGTATAGAATCTATTAAATCTAATATAAGAGAGTTAATTATATTAAACTTGCTTATTTATTAAGTGCGTTAGATAATCTATTAATTAAAAATACATTTAGAGAAGTCTACGGTTTTTNATATATTTAATCGACGTTTTACTACGAAATAAATTTCAACTCTCAAAATTGTTTGAAGGGTGAGTGCTAATAAATTTGATAATTCAACACAATATATTAAACTTATTGTTAAAACGAAAAAATTAACATATTTGATCAGTATATATATATGTGTGTACAAACTGCCGGCAGCACTTCAGCATTATGGCCAATCAACACAAGTACCAGAATACCGGTAAGCTAAAATACGAGCTGCCGCCCGAAGTTCAGCAACAAACAGAAATTCCCGGACAGAAATTCTCTGTTGAGTCTACTTTTAAAATACAACCAGACCTAAAGCTTTCAGAAAATTCCGATCTTTTATTTGTTTCGAGCGACCACTTTCTTAAAGCCGGTTCCACACATTCGGTATTCCTCGATTCATCTCGTTTGGTCGGACACAAATTAACGTAGAGGAGTGAAAAACAAACAATTCCGAATACCGAGTTACGAGTAAATCGTACACACCACACGTCAGGATCAACTTTGAAACTCGTTCTCTGGATTAGTTACGATGTGTAATTTTTACATACTTTTCGTGTCGGTGGATCAACAGAAGAGCTTGAGCTCCCGTAGTTCCATTAAATCCTTATGATTTTCTATATAAGCTTAAACACTAATTTACGACATTATATGAAAGTCAAAGAATCACATTTTACTCTCCGAGTCTTCAAAATCATTCCACGTTAACTGGCGTAATCCATAACTTTAAACTTTTTATTAACTGAATACAATTGCTTTTCCATTAAAGCAAACGCCGTTTATTTCTTAATTTATTAAAAAGCAAACACTTGTAAGAATTGATACGAATATTGTTTATTCTCAATGATCGACATTATTCTGTCTATAGAAACACGTTGTAGCATAATCCGTCTTTGAAATAACAGAAAAATTAAAAATAAATCGTGGCAAATTTATTAATGGAAGTTATAAATCACGTGTCAGAACAGTGACTCGATCTGGAAGCTGCACGTTCCTTCGAGTCGGATCCACGGATTTTCATTTATAATTTCAAATAGGGTATCTTTTTATTTACAGTTACTCTGACATATAATTATAGGTTTTAACCGAATAGATTTAAAAAATGAATACACGTATNCCCGGGCGGCTAACACCCACGGTACGCCACTGCGCATCTGAACTCGTCTATCAAAAAATTGGCGCATGGTATGCAAAAGGTTGGCCACCCCTGCCATAGACCATCACTGACTACTGCCCCTGGAAGTCGGCTTCTTACAGAAACACAGCTTCCATATCATCAAATGTCACGGCACGCCACTGCTTCTTTCTAAGCGCTCGTCTTTGCTCTTTCATTTCTCTTTCCTCTGTCGCTCGAATCCACGTATGCCTATGCATACATCATAATACGCGCTCACGATACTTTCGATTTGTCAGTTTTCCGTCGTAGATTTCCCATTGTACAATTACATGACTCATAGCCTGGTGATAACGGAGAAAAGAGACAGATAGGACGTCGGCATAAGTCACAGTTATGATTTCACAGATTCGAGACAGCTCGGTAGCCGAACGGGCCCAGGCTTTTGCCCGTGAACGCTAAGTGACTTTCATTACAAGCATTTAGCTTTTCGAAGTCTATGACAACAGTTTGGCATTGACAGCCGCGAATTTCGTGCCAATAAGCTGCCTTGATTTGTTCGATTATGTTATCAACTCAATTTCATATTTATTTTCACATTTTCACTTTTCGGTCCTTCTCTGTTCTTTTTCCGTTATTTAAACGTGTAGGTAATNTAATTATAGGTTTTAACCGAATAGATTTAAAAAATGAATACACGTATAACGGCGAAGCTTTCCAAACAAAACAACTCGTACACGGAAATAACTCAAGCATGAGTATAGAAGATTCAATTAGTTAATGATGAGTTTAAAAACGGCTTATGTTTTACCGAGTAACTGAGTAACATTTAAAAACTAGATTCGAGCAACACCAATAAGACGTAAAGAAAGGAAAAGACAACATGGTCTTGAAAGCAATCCGGACGGTGCGTACAAGAAACTTCAGGACTTTGAAAGAAATCTAAAATCGTTAATGAAGTACACTCACCCTCTACAGCTACGAATAAGCACAAAATTCAGATTTTTTAACAGAAATAAATGCGTTAATGCCAAAGACGTAAAGCGATATCTAACGGCATAGAGATAAAGCTGGGATCAGTAAAAAACACCTGTAATAATTACAACACTATCGGACAATTGTCTATCTTAAATATTAATTAGTTATGTTATTGCATTAATTTTTTAAAGAGTATTTTTATTATAATAGTAATTTAGAATTTCAATATTAAAAATTCAATAAATACGTTCTAAATTCCATTTTAAATTTGAACTAAAGAAACGTTCGATATAACTTTGTTTCCGATCCGAACACAATTTCACACTTTCCCTCTTTCATTAACGACTGAGCAAACAGACATCAATGAAATATGTCAAGCTATTTGGCACGTGTTAACAAAAGATTACGTAAAGTTTTCAAGCAGAAAACAATTTGCCAATCTTGCGAAGAAATTTAAAATAAAATAAAACTTTTCTCGTTGTGTTGATTCAAGGAATGTAGTGCAAATCGCTCACGTCTTTTTTTGTGATATAAATAACAAAAAAAGTTCAAAAATAAAATTATTTTCGTGCGTAATTCTAAGCAAGTTTTGTGATTAGCGTGACGTAAGCACGTTTCTAAATGTTGCTTAAACAATAAAGAGTAACAATATATTTTCGGCCATTGTCGAAGCGTTTGTTCGGTGCTACAAAGTAAGATTACAAGTAAGTTAAAGTACATTTTTATTCTATAATTATATTAACTGTTTACTAACATGTCGAGAATGAATATAGAAATATAAAATTAAAAGTAATTTTCGACCAGATGTTTAAAAATCCCAATAGAATGATATAGAATGTTAAGAACGGCGAATATAGGACTATTCTTAGTGCAATTGACGATATTTAACTTTGCATTCATTTTCTGCTTGAGACAATTATTGCATTAAACGTATTTTTTTTTTTTCAAATAAATGACAATTTATTATTTCGTTTCCGCATCTTATCCAATATCTCAATATTGAATTCCATTAATAAACATTTACTCATTTATTTCACCGTGAATAACTCTTCAGTAAAACTGCATATTAATTATTCATTTTATGATTGTAACAATTTACACTTTTCACACAATTTATAATATAAAATCACAGTGTAATATTCATAACAGAAATAAATTTACTTTTGCTAGATTTTAAGTATTATCGTTGTGGATATTCAATGGATAAAATTTACAAAATATGTTTGTACAATGAAAATTTCATCTGTTTATTTGGTGTAAACCGTTCGTCAATTCCTATATGTTTTCCCTTCAAAGTCTTATATAATTATTAAATTCACGCGAAAAATCTTTTACAAATTGCTGTGTTTAATGCGTTCACTATTATTCTCTAGGTTTTAATAATTCAATGGAAATGCGTGAATATTCCGCTTGTGAGAATAATGTTAGTGCAGAAGATGCTTTCACAAATATAGTGAATGCAATCCTTCAACTGACGGCTGATATCAATGCAGATTTTCCAACAGAAACAGAATTATCTTCTTCTGTAAGTTCAGTTCAAAATAATTTAATAATTCTCATTATCTAAAGGTTTAAAACTGAAAAACACAACACGAGAAATGAACAATCTTATAAAAAGTGTTGTTTGTAATGGCTGCAAATTCTTTATTAATTAATAAATGATTTTCGACTATTTCGACTACTGTAAGATTATTCTATCAGGAATGTGAACTTTTCACTTTTTACAGGATTCTGACGACGAAGAGGAGGGTGATTTCTGGTTTTTGGAAAGTACTCGATGTGAAAATAGACCTTTGAAGAAAGAGTTTTTATTTTTAGAGGAGCATTCATTGGTCAAGAAAATAATATATGAAGAAAAGGAAGAAGTGGAGGTGTTGGTTGAAGGTGAGGTTACAAAAAGATTATAAAGAATTATAAAATAATTTGTTAAAAATTATTAAGAAATCTTTTAATGTTAAACTCATTCTGTTCAAATTTATTTAAATGATAAAACTTAATATTAGTTATCCATTTGCAGTCTTTCACGCCTGTTGTATGTCGTAGTTTATTATATTCGAAACAATTCAAAAATAGATCATTCATTTCTACAAAGATTACATTTATTTCGTCAAAAACACTTTTGATTTCGGTTTTTATTCAACTAACAATTTCAACCACATTATATAAATATTCAGCAGTAGACATGATTAGTTAGGAATAAACCAACAAATAAAATAATTGCAACAAACACATCCTTAATATTGACGAAATAATTCATTGTCTTGGCCACTTCTGGTATCAAATTTAATTGAAAATTAATTTATCATCCTTCAAAGTATATGTCAAGAAATTTCCAATAATTTTAATAGAATTCAATGAATTATATTGTTCCGGCTGTTATATTATTTGACCTTGGAGGTGTTTGGAATGGCTGTGACCCTTCCGAACAGAAAAAGTAAAAAAACGAAATATGTGTGCGTGTGTATTCACGTCTATTTCGTTTAATATTTCTGGATAGGTAAAAATTACAAACCGAAATTCGCACGGTAAATTGTTTAATAAATTTGTGGACATCGTGGACATTTAATTTTGATGGCTGAAGGTAAAAGATAGAAATAGGTCACCCATCACGTCTCTCAGCATAGTCGGTGTTTATGAAGATTTTACACGCTTTTAGCACTAACAAATTTGTATACAACTCGTCTCTATTTTCAAACTTAAGCTTTCTCTTTATTCTTTGATTGTGTGACGTAAACGAATAGTGTATAAATGTAAAAGAAACGCTCGTAAAACTCAGACATCGAGGACTAAATTCGAAATTTATTGAAATGTAACACAAAACTTGTATATAATTTATTGTATATAAATTTGTTGGAATTATAATTTCCAACATCCGGTGTAATTAAAAAAGTCGTAGTCTATGCCTGTATCCAAATATACTTAAAAAACAGACAATTCGTAAAAGGTACGCAGAGATCTGTATTAATGGCGAGTGTGTTATATTTTTAATCCTTTGATTTATTTACAATGAAAGAAATCCGATTTGACATTTACTTACGTAGTAATTATATTGCATTACCCCGCTGTTTACACAATAATAACACTTTCTAACTTCCTGTACAGTTTATATAGAAATACAGAGATATATTTCTACATAAACTTATTAGTCTGATACATATTTTTATAATGAATATGTTTGAATAGGTGCGGGCATTACGATATAAAATTACATAAAGGTAAATTCTCAAATTATTTTTATAGGAAAGAATAAAAAAGAAGAGATGACAGGAAAAAATAAAAAGATTAAAAAATTAAGTCGATTGGATAATAGGAGAAATAATGATAATAGATTCGCATACAAAAGTGAATTGGATGATAATGATGAAGTAAGCAATTATTTTCTAATTTTCTTTGATTTACACTTATGAATTCATTTTCGTTTCTTGCTGAATTTCAATTTCAATATTATTTTGCTATTTTAAGACTCGTTTTCTCTCTTGTATTCACAATGATTCTATACATTCGGGTTACTTTACCTTCGTAATATTTAATAATACATAACTTTCGTAATATTATTTTTAAACGAACATTGTAATTTGAACCTGCTGTTAATTTATCTTCATATTTTATTTACGAAACATTTTTATTATTTGCAGGAAACGACCAAATGTTTCCATATTTTTGTGGATTTTTTCCGCAGATTTCCATCTATCATCTGTTCCTGTTTAAAAAGAAAAAAGTAAAATGTCGGAATGTAGATCATCGTTACATTCCGTTTAGCTAAAAAAAAAGAAAAAAAAGTTATATTTTTTTAAATATTATTAGAAAAATCTATTGTTCTTACAATTATAACGAAGGCACATTACAAAATTATTTGGTCCAAATATCTGGTGTGCAACTTTCATTGGCAGGCGCCAACGTATAATCTGCTCTATACTTTCGGCCGAATTATTAATGCTTAATAAAAACAGAGCGAAAGATAATTTCTTATGCATTGGAGAAGTCATTAAAATGTTATTGAAGGTTATCAGAGGAAAGAAAGCAAAGGTCATCAGAAGGATATGTCAAGGTGTCCCTTCGTAGAGGCATAATCACCATACTTGTCTCTGCAAGGGAAAAAGCGAAAGACATAAGAAGGAATTGGCAAGGTGTTCCTTCGTGGAGACATAATCACCGTACTTGTCTCTGCAAGGAAACAAAGCGGAGGTCATCACAATAAATTGTCATGGTGTCCCATTGTGGAGGCATAATCACCATACTTGTCTCTGCAAGGGAAGAAACCAACAAAGTGACAATTGAAATAGTAAAACAGAAATCTGTTAGCCTTTAATAATAGTTCGATTAAGTAACAAAATAATGAATCGTGGCATGAGAAATGCTATTTTTCGTAAAGATAAAAGCTTCTTTTTAATGAAATCTTTAAGGCATCGGCAAAATTTTTTTTTGAATGAAAGAAAGAGTTACTTCCATTTGATCTGAAAGTTTAAATTTGAGAAATGGAATTGGAATGCACACCTTTTAACATCTGTTTCTATATTTTTCTCTAAGAAAATGTTTTATTTTCGGTTTGTTATTATTAATTTCAAAATTTATGAGCTTGATTGCAACTAAAAGTCGTTAATCTTTGTATTGCTCTTTTCACACAATAAATTATTGTGCCTTTGAAGTGTTTACTGTTCAATTTATTATAAAGTTTATCCGAAAAATTTTTAAATTTATTCCACGAAACATAAACAAAGAATGATAGACACTTTTTTGTATACAAATGTAATAATAATTTTAGTTATTCAGGTGTGTAAGGCATACGAAATATATGACAGTTAAAATTTGTTTAATGATATTGTCATATATTTTTCGTATAATAGTTCACACACGCATTAAACACATACAATATTACGTATACATTTGTATACACTGAAAAATAAGAATTAAATCTGTATAATTAATACAATCAATGTATTTATTAAAGAAAAACCTGTCACTCATCCATCGATAAGGAAGTTTTAAAGCGATTTACCGAAATTTACAGACATTCTCTGGGTACCAAGTGTCGTATAGCGTATGGCTACACAGTTACGATATCGCCATACACGAGCGTGCACGTTTACATTCGACGAGTTGGGTGGAAAAAGCAATATTTTGTCGTATATCTGGCAGACACGTTAACGTAGACAACATCGTTGACATTTCCATAGGGAAAAGCCAGCGATAGATTTTGTAGCGATTTGGGAAATCTTTCCTAATATGTTTGAGGAAATTCTCTTGTGATAGAATTTCTCTCTGTTTGCGCCAGTTCGTAATGAGCGTTTCTCTCGGATGGTGGCCATTTTGCAACATTACCTCCCTTTAACGAAAGAAAAATGCACGAAAATGCACAATTTTTGATGTTAGTCTATAGACTTTTTTAAAGTCTTTCTGCCTTATGGGCACTAAGAGGGCATCTTTTATCAGGCCCATTACGAATTCAGCCAGGCCCACGATGGGGCGACCGGCTGGTGAGGGACGGGGCTCGACATATCCGAACGGAACAACCCCCGAAAAATTCCTGCGGTTTTCTCGACTCGTCCAGATACGATCTCAGGTCCCGCAGAGTGATAGGTTGCTACCTTGACCCCTCGGCCATCTGACCGTCAGTTTACAGAGTTCTCTATATGTGAATGGCTTACAAAATTTTCTCTAATATATAGTTTGTTTGTATTAATTACGTAAATTTTTTCCATTCATTTATAATCATAAATTCATATTAAAAAAAATATGGTTCGTCCCTTCGAATCAAAAGTACGCATTTTTTTTTTCGATTACTTTGCAAATAATCAGGAAAGTCGTATTGCAATTTCAAGTAAATGCAATTTAGATTAATAACACTCTTATCTAATTTTTAAATTAATTTACTTATTTTAATTGTATTTTAAATAATACAAAGCTACACAAGAGAGAATATAAAAATATAGAATCATCAGAACAATACTTCTGCCTTTCAAATTTCTGTTATAAAATACTTTCATTGTCAGCATTCTTAATAGAGACCAGTGCCAGCCCGAGACAAGTTTTAGGTTGAAACGAAATCTTATTATGGCGCCCCTTTGGTTGTCCCTAATTTTTACACTTTAATTTTCTTTACCACTGAGGAGTCTTGTAGGACTTAGCGCCTGGAGTGACTGCTCCGTTCGCCCTATGTTAAGACCGGCTCCCGTACACCTCGTATTGTGCAGTACTGTATTTGACAGATTTCTAAAAATGTAAAGCCACAGAGGAGATAAGAAACAACTAAAGTTTACCTACAAAAGGAAAATATTCAATAGCAGATTGTGTATATAATAATGTTGAAAATGTATAATTATCAATAAATTTTTTTTCTTAGCTAACGTTCAAATAAATGATTGCCGATCTGTTAAATGAGGCTACAAAAATCAGCAGAAAAATCTTGAGATTAAAAGAATTTAAGAACGAAAGTCTACATATTCTGTAGAATAACTTTTATAATATACTGTATAATTTCAAATATTTTGATAAAAAATAATGAACAATAGTGATATTTTAAAGCTACAATACAAAGTCCCAGTCGACCCCCCCATAACACTGTTGATAATTTCGTGTTATATGAATTCCATGTTGTACGAGTCACTTAGATTTTACAAATACGTGTGCCGGGCTGTGAACGGCTCACGTATTTGTATTTTGGGGGCGAATAACAATTTTCTGGGCGATATAGTAAAACATTATATGAAGAATAATTGGATATTTTATTCGTCATATCGTACAATAATTAAACAAATAACATTATACTAGTCACTAGTCTATTCAATGCAGTACGAATTTGGCGTTAGCCTTGGGCCTCGGCATCGGAATTTTGAAGTGAAGGGGGCGATACTACGTAACGGTTTTATTGGAAGAGGCGACGATTCGTTAGAGGTTGAGAAACACTGGTATAGGACTATAGGCATTACAGTCTACATAAACGATTGATAAGAATTTATCATTATCGGTAATGATATTATATATGTACTAGCTGTTACCTGCGACTTCGCCCGCGAAAATTTTGCAAGCAAACCCCATTTATATTCAGTATTTCAACACCCATAGTAATTGTTATATAACACCTACCGCTGAGAATGATGAGAATTGCCGAGAATCAAACGAACTATTTTCAATTTGATCAATCGTTCTATAATCGAACCAATATGCAATAACAAATTCGAATTTAAAACGGTTCGAGCATTTTTAAAATCGAAATAGATAAAAATATTTATAACAATGTCTGAAATCTTATTAATTTAAATTAATACACCTAAGTACTTGATGAAGACTAAATCCTCTCCCTCTCCCCCGCGGGGAAATTTCGAAAAATCCCTTCTTATTGTGCATTCTCATGGCATACCCTACTAAAACGCAGATAAAAACAAAAAAATCGAATCTAAAATAGTGCAGTAAAAGCGGTTTTTCCGGATAAGCCTTAATCCTCTCCCTCTCCCCCCGCGGAAGAATTTCGAAAAATCCCTTCTTAGTAAGCGTTTTCATGACGTACCCTAACTGTATACCAAATTTCACCTCTTTAGGTTCAGCGGTTTGCTCTGGGCGATGATGAATCACTGAGTGAATGAATCAGTCAGTCAGGACAAGCAATTTTATATATTTAGATAGGTCCTTTCTTAGCTTGTAATAGGCCTACATCTTCAGATTGTTCGTGCTAATTGTTTTTATGTTTCTATTAATAATACAAACTGTTTTATATCTATACTTATAATATAAATTAGTCTGGAACCAATAAAAAATTTCTTATTATTTTTTCATAATTAAATCATTTATACACCATTAACTTTTGTCTGCCAGCTTAAAAGGATTTACCCGATGACAAGGCATTAAAGCAAAATCTATATGCCAAAGGGTGTTACACAGTAGGAGGCATGTTTACCGACAGACCGACATGATCTTGTCTGTAGCAAACAAACACTAGGGGGCCTTCCTGGGAATTCAGGCTGTTATACGCGTTACGGAAATCCTTTGAGGATTAGCCGTGATTTTTTTTTCTATCTATCCACCTTTAAATAAAAATAATTATTTATACGTTAGAAAATATTTTAATAAGTTTTGTAAATTACAATGTTCGATCCAGCCAGTTATATCCGATTTTCATTTTTCCGTTAAGTACATTCTTTGAGGATTTCCGTAACGTGTATAACAGCCTTAATTAGACAGGTGGAAAATAGCCCTTTTCTTGTGACTTTTTAGCCACCTTTTCTTTATCTTATAGTTAAAAAAAAAAAAAAAAAACGGTCATTCGAAGGAGACCATTGCCTATTTTTCAGATTAATAATAATATAACACATGTTTAGGTTAACTATGACGTGAATTTGGTGTGGCATGGCACTTGGAACCGGTATCGACCGAGCATCACATTTGCAACATGATAAATAATAGCAGCAATACAAAAATATAATAGATAAAATATTTCCTTTTGTAATGTTTATACATAGATGACTTGTCATAAATATAATTGACTGTTAACTATAAACGACGTTACATCGAGGTAATTAGAAGTTTTATATATAATTTTTACTTTATTTAACACGCAAGTAGTTTGAAAAATTTGGTGACAAAAATATTTCCAGGTGACGTCGGTAGATGGCGCGACGGTTCACTTTGAATCACGTGTAGTATAGTATAGTACGTCCCCATTGTTGAGAGCGGTCACTTTTAAATCTGACTCGGAACGAAGATGCAGCTCGATCGTCAACTGCCGAAATATATTGATGTAGAAAGTGTAGAAGGCGTAGAAGGTGAGTTTTGAATATAAATTATTGTTATTTAATTAAGTTAAAGAATAAATTATCAAAATAGAATAAATAAATAAATAAATAGAAAGTGAGTAGAACGAGGGAATTGTCGCATGTTACCTGTTAAAGTATCTTCCAGTTATATCACGTTTGATAAACTTTTCGAAATTTTTTTGACATAAATGAGGAATTTATGTTGTATTATATAGGCAAAAATGATTGTAAAATTATATTTTTTTTTTTACTTGTAAACAGATTTTATTGTCATTAAATGTGTGAATAATTTCTTACCAAAATTTTCTTTAATAATACAAAATATCAATTGTAATTATGTTATATATAATTTTACCGAATATTGAAATCTTAAATATGTTCTAATTATGAATAATAAAAGTTTTTATAAATGTAAAAAGGGGTATTTTTAAGATGAAGATGGCGGATTTCACTAGTCTACACGTGTTAGACGACGACCACGTGAATTATAAACGTTTGTATTCGATATCGGGCACTTGTGCTGTTTAGTGGGTACAACTATTTGAGAAGTTTTCTTTCATAAAATTAATCAAATCCAGACTAATTTCACTCGAATATTTCCAAAACACGTATAATTTCTTGGAAATGGTCGATATAAAATATACTATGAACAAAAAATTGTCGGAATTATATCGAGTGTAC